TTTTTTTATCTTTACTATTCATTTAGACTTTGCGGTTATTGATCATCGTTGCACAATTTTGTGGCACACTCTGCACTTTTCCGGCAACTATGTACTTTCACAGCTTTATTATTTTCTCACTTTTACCACTCGAATATGCTCATCAATGTATCTTTTTTGGCGCTATAGCAACTTTTGCGATGTTATAAAATTTTTATTAAGCACTTGGCTTCATTTTGGTGCTAGATTATTTTGTGAAAATAAAAAATATGTATTTAGACAAGTGTTTGCATGCAAGGAGACGGTCCAATAGCTTTAAAGTTGCACTTTTGAGCGGAAGCCCACACAATTTTTATTGCGCACTCATGCAATATTTACGCTGCATATAAACTTTTTTTCTACCCTCCACTTTGATGTTTTTACACAACTTTATTTTGCATCGCTTTATTTGCATCTTTTCCCAAAGCTATTCGAAACTTAATATTCGCTTGCACTAAAAACAATTTCGTGCCGTCATTTAACGTGCGCATTGGCAATTTACAACTAGGGAATTATGGTACTTAATTACTTAACACACAATCGCTGAAAGCCTTTTATTTCAATAATAATGGGCGCTAATGTTGCATGGTGCAGAGCAAGTGTTGTGGCAGTAAACCACAAAAAAGCCAATTGGCCGGCTCGCAGTTCCTTTTTGGGGGCGTTTAAATTCTGCCAACTGCAAGCAAAGGCCGTGGCATTTTACTATTTGGTAACACTCAATCGCGAGCTCATGTTGTTGTTGTTGTTTTTGTTAGCTTAGGTGGATATTTTGTGGCACCACAGATGCGCAAATATTTGCCACACAATCGCACACAATTCACACAACCGAGTTTACAGGCAGAGCGCAATTGCACAGCAATACTCTTTGGTTGTATCGGATTTTTTAAATAAATTAAGCACTAACCCTGCGCTCCAATTGCAAACAGACTGTTTAAATTGTTGTGGCGCTGCACTTTTTATTCTTGCAAATGTCATCTCAGTAAACTACGCGTATACTATTTTGGTAAATTTTCTTCAACTAAATATAAAATCGATAATCGTCACTCATACGCCATGTACACCTTTGACAGGCAGCGCAACAAAATACATGCTGGTTTACTTTTATGTTATTATTTTGTAACCATTATAAGCCACCAAATAACCATTTGACTCCCATAATGTGAACGCTATAAATATTCCATTGACCACTTTTGAAAATGTCAATTTTCAATTGAATGTTTATTTTATCGATACTTTCACTTCCATTTTTTAATTCAATTATGCATTGTTCGATGTTGCATGCTTCTTGTGTACTATGTTGCATGTAAATATATATTTTTCTCACATATTTGACAAATTTAGCTGTCACTACACAAACATCCAAAAAATGACTTGCCATTTATAACCTATGGTCATTTGTGCAGCTGAGTTTTAACCACACACTCTCCAGCTGCCACATAGCTGTGGCTTTCACTTTTGGTTTATTCGCTTATATTTTCTATTTTTGTGAATGGTTCGCTAAATTTTCAATTGTCCAAGATTGATTTGATATTTCTGTAATAGTTTTGTTATATTACTTTATTGGCAGAATAGCGTTTGTGGTTAACACTTTTTCTCACTTATTTCCGTGTCTGTTATTAGATGAATAGTGAACATTGGTTTCCACTATCAGTATATTTGAAAAATCATTAAGTTACTATTTCATGCGAGTTTCGGTGGCACCAAGTCGCTGTAAGTAAAAAGAAAGTTATTTTCATTAGTAAGCATGCATTTTTTTAAAGGATTTTAATGGCATTGTAGGGACCTTAAAAGGACACAAAAAACGCCGAGACACGTTAACTTAATTTTGGGTCGTCGATTACGGATCTATATATCAGTTTTCTAAATCATGTCATTACCTCAGAATATTTTCCCTTTAAATTTGCATTGCGAATGGAAAAAATCAAACTTTAACATAGAAATGGTTACTCATACCCTTGTCGTCAGCTGATTACGTTAAGTTATATTTTGAACATTTTTGGCTATTTTTCTTTGTCTATTTAATATTTTAAATTCTTCCTATAAAAATTTAGCACATTACCCAACCAGCACCACATAAATCCACATTTCAAACTGCGTACAAAATTTATAAATGTTAAACAAACTTCAACAGTTACACCTAAAAATTGTAAACTTTTTTATTAAAAATTCGTAGAAAAATGTTTGATATTCAAGTTTAATCGATTAAAGTGTAAACTTCAAGACAATAGAAAATCGCGTTGATTTTTAATAATTTTTTTTACTGACGGTGTTGGGCATTTCTTCCCATATAAAGTATGCTCGACAATGTCTTTTATATGGAGGAAAATGCCTAGTACTGTCAGCAAAAAAAAAATTATTAAAAATCAACGCGATTTTCTAGCTCTTGAAATTTGCACTTCAATCCACTAAAATTTAATGGGCAATGAAATAGCATACCTAAAATTTTTCTAAAATTTTTTAGTAAAAATAACAAAATAAAAATAACCAAAACTGACCAAAATGTCACTTAACTTAATCAGCTGACCACAAGTGTACGTTATGTATGTACGAATATGTAAGAGTTTGGCTGAGTACGTTATTGCGTATGAGTAACATTATTTCCTGCTACTATCTTTTCATACAAAAAATTATTGCACATTTTTATTTGACCATTCACAACTTGCTTATTATTCCATCGATTTTCATCGTTAGTCGCTTCGTTGTTTTGAAAAAGAACAGACTTTAATATTTACAAAAGATTTGTTATTTCTAAATCCCTTTCCTTGTTAAAAAATTATTATTTTTTTCAAAAAAAAATTTAAATCTTTTAGAAAAATGACTTTGTTTGGAAAAACGGTATACAGATCAAAATCTGCGATCCTATATTAATTAAGTTTACATTTGTCGCCTTTTTTGTGTCATCTTACACTTGAGATTTTCTCTACAGAGTTATTAAAATAGAGCAAATAAAATAATAACGTCATACAGATGTTTACTTATTCCTTTAGCCGTCAGTATACCATCTATATGTTGCTTTACAGAAATAAATTAACCCTGGGCTGCCTGACAAGGGTTTTAGAGACGTACGATATTTTAAACTAAACGTAATTTCAAACTAGTATTATATACCAGCGGCAGTCGCGAGACTTCTGTTAAGGGTTTCAACAGCTTTTCGCAAAATGTTTTTAGATATTTCATGAAATATGTTCTTATTTTTTATGTCAATAGGCCATTATTTTACAAATCGTATACCTTTTTTGACTTCATAATTAAGATTCGGCTAGAACTTTTTTATAAGTTGCATTTACGAAATAGGGAAACACCCATATCAAAATACAGCAGGAAAAATATAATTTTCGGAGATATATGTACATATTTTTAGGTGGATGTTTGGCGATACTTAACCGAATCATGCCACATTAATAATTCCATATCATTGGTTCCACTAATAAACTCAAGAGAATTGAAATGTAAAAGCATTCAACGAGTTGTTAGGCCGGAAGAGAGTCTGAAAAACGAAGCATCTGAAGGGAAAACCAATTAACTTTCCCCTGAACCCGTTCAAAGTGACGGGCTTGGTAACAATAAATTGCACTCCAGATAACCGAGGCATAGAGAGTTAAAGATA